CCTCGGGGCCGGGTGTGGGCGGGCGCTCGGCGTCCGCTCGGGCCGAGAGGCCGGGTGGGTTCCCGGCGCGAGTCCGCCCCGTCCCGCTCTTCCCCTTACCACGTAGCCCCCCCACACGTAGAGGAAGTTTCCGTCCACCACGGCGCAGTGGCCGCTGCGCTCCTCCGCCACGCAGAACGGCTGCGAGTCCGCCATCCGCGCCGTCGCTGGGTCCAGCCGCTGGGCGCGCCGCAGCCCCTGGCCACGGAGCGGCCTCTCCTCCCGCCCGGCTCCTCCACGCACGAACGGAACGCGTCGAGGGTCGAGATTGGTGGGAAGGCGGAACGAGTGCGTCTGCGCCGTCCCGCAGCCCGCCCGGGAAGCCCGGCCCAGGGTGGCGTTGCCCGTTAGGGATGCTCGGCTCTGAGCGGTGACGGAGGTGCCTTGGCTTCGGCACCCTGCCACCTGCTGATTTCTTTCCGCTTGGGATCGCGTCGTTTTGGCAGTACAACCTAACTCTGTATCTTATTCCCCCCATAAATAGACTTCTGGTCCATAGAGTTGATGCTGCTGTGACATAATATATTAATTAATGCTTTGTGTGGGCTTCCTTTTCCATTCAACCTCCAGCAAAGACGGTTATCCACAAGAATGCGGGGGGTGTGTTTGTATGTATTTAATAGAAATGTGTATATATATATATATATATTTTTTTTTTTTCATTAGGGATTTTCTAAAACGTGTTCCAACAAACTACGGCCTGGGGGCCAAAGTCAGTCTGCCGCCAGTTTTTGTATGGCCCACAAGCTAAGGACAGTTTTACATTTTTAAATGGTTGAAAAAAAATCTAAAGAAGAACAATGTTTTGTGACTCGTGAAAATGAGAAGAATTCAAATTTCATCATCTGTCCATGAAGTTTTATTGGCAGTCAGCCACCCTAATTCGGTTAAGTGTTGACTATGGCTGCTTTAACCCCACAACCACAGGGTTGAGTGGTCTGAGTTGAGCAGTTGCAACAAAGACCATATAGGCCACACTGCTGGAAATGACTCTCTGGCCTTCCTACAGACAAAGCTGGCGAACCCTTGTCATTAAATGATGCTACCGAAGTAAAACTACGGTCAGGAAGGAAGATAATTCCACCAGTGTCTGTAAATGCGCTTGTCCAGAGTCATTCTTTGAAGAGATTGTGGCTGCCCATGACTCAGAACAAGTTCATTCATTCATTTATTCCGTACGTATTAAGTACCTGCTTAATCTGCTTAATGTAGATCCTTGGTTCTCAGGCTCTTTTAGACTGGAAACGCTGAAGGCCTCAAGTATTGTTGAGTCCCCAGAACCTAGGACCAAGTACATAATAAATATTTGTTGACTAAATGAGCGAAAAGACAAAGTGAATTTTAAGATGAGTAAGACATAGTTCTATCACAAGGGCTTCAAAGTCCAGTCAGAGGGAAAGATATATAAATACATGTGGTGTGTGGGATGAGGAGTTGTATAGTTGAAATGTGGATAAAATACAGCAGAAAAATGGGAAGGAAAGATGTGATCTATTGAGGAAGGGGGTGTACAAAAAGAGACACTTGAGTTTTCATACAAGTTGTATAAAGTTATTAATATATGTAACCCATATGCCCACGGGTGGGTCTTTGTCCCAAGAACCCCCATTCCACCTGCAGTGGAATTCCAAAGCCCTGTCCAAGATTTCTGTAAATTCTTAGGATTATAATCTCATAGTCACTTCTGGCTTTAAATTCCTACTGCTACTGGAATAATCCCACTCACAGACTCACGGATCTTCTCACTATGGAGCATGCTATATCTCTTCTCCAATGCATCATTCCAGGCATGACACTCAGAAGCATACCATATTTTCTTTAAAAAACCCACTCTTAAAAGTCATTTGTATTGCTACTAAATTTTACTGAAATGAAAGATAAAAGTAAAAAGACGATAGAGAAGGGGTTTATATCATAGAAAGAAAATAATTGCAAACAGAACATTAGATACCCTTGTTCCTCAAACTCCATTTAGCCACCCCATCATTGTGGCCTTTGTCAAAGATAAAGTCAGACACTGGTTAAAGAGGTGAGGATGGATTTTTTTTTTTTCCCAACAGTAAACTACTGACATAAGGAAGGGGTTCCAGTACTACCTGAAATCAACTCTGTGGAAACAGAAGGCTGGAGACTTTCAAAAGGCAGGGGCAGGTGTGCTAAGGGAAGGCACTGAGGAGTGCTGAGGGCGGGGATGATCCATGTGACTAAGCCATCTGGGCTTGCTAATTGGAGCCTAACCAAGGGAAGAAACGAACTTCTATCTTTATGACCAGAGCTGGTGGTGCAAGTTAAACAAGGCACCCACCAAAGTTAGGCCTGTATCTTCCCACTCAGGAACTGGAATTCAGAGCCACAGTTCTCTCCCTGAATGTTTGCATTTCAAAAAGACAGCTCTCCCATCTTCAGAGAAAGGGTTGGGGATGGTAGATTTACATCTGAAAGTCAGAGAAAGTATAATTGCAAACTTTCTAAAGTAACTGCTCTAAGAGTGGGCTCAGGATCTATCTGCCTACCACCAGATTTGGGACTGGAACAAACAAAATTCTCCTGGCAGCCTTAAGCTTTTTCAGGAAGGCACTCTAAGGGGTCCTGGGGTCATTCTAGAGGATGTGGCCTTGAGCTGTTAGAAACAATGCTAGCGTTCAAGTCTCTAAGTGTGTGTACGCGGGAGGTGTGGGGCATGAAATCATTTGTGCTGAGACAATGCAGTTTTTATAGGCCAAGGTTGAGGCCTAGCTGAGAATAGTGCTCAGGTGAGCATGACTAGAATTTGGTCAAGGAGAGAGTCTTGGTCACGTTTTCACTGGCCTTCTCTCCTTAGTCCCCAGCCTCAGAACATTTGCTGACTTCTCTCTACATTCTTTCCCTCCAAGATTATCCCCAAGGAATATTAAATTCTTCTCTATTATTCAGAAGAACTCAGGCTACCAAACTCTTCCCAGATTCCCAAACTCGGGTCTAAGAGCATCTTTCCTTGTCTAACCCCACCAATGGTAGAAAACAAAAAAGGCATGAGCAAGACCCAGTTCCCTTCAGAGCAGTTGTAATTTTTTTAATGGTTTGTATTTAATAATGAGGAAGGACAAACAATATTTTAAAGAAAAAAGAATAATGCCAAAATGAGTGCCTCTGTACTCACCACTCTCCTTCAAAAAAAAAAAAAAAAAGGATAACCCCTTTGCCAGCCCTAAAAAAAAAAAAAACCCCATGCAGCAGTAATCACTAGACTGAATTTCACATTACTTATTCCCTAGCTCCTCTTTATAGTTTTACCACACAGATCATTTTTGAACTTTGTATAAATGGAGTCATGCTGTATATATTCTTCTAAGATTTGCTTTTATTCACTCAACATATGCCTGAGGTTAACTCCCTTGTGTGGGGGTGTAAATCTGTTTTTCCATTGCTAGCACGTTTTATTGTATGAACATTTTGGAATATATTTATCCTTTGTACTGTTAGTCACCTAGGTTCTTCCTAGTTTTTACTATAACGACAAGGTTATTAGTAAATATTTTAGGGTTTATGGACCACAAAGTGTCTGTCAGAACTATTTAATTCTCCCTTTGCCACATGAAAATAGCTACAGACAATACATAAACAAACTTGGCTATATTCCAATAAAACTTTATTTATGGACACTGAAATTTGAACTTCATAAATCTATATGTGTCACAAGAATTCCGGCCTCTCGTCATGGAGACAGAGAGAAGTGGACAGGGTTTAGAAATACTTAAAAACTAGAACCCAGAGCACCTGGCTGGCTCAGTCAGTGGAGTATGCAACTCTTGATCTCAGGGTTGTGAGTTTGAGCCCCACATTGGGTGTAGAGATTACTTTAAAAAACAAAAAGTAGAACCCAAGGGACTTGGTGGCTGATTGATTTATGGGGGATGAAGGAGAGGGAGGAGTCAAGGATGCTGCCTAGTTTACTAGCCTGGTCAGTGGGTGAAGAGGTAATGAATTAGTGTAGTGAACATGAGAGGAGGAACATATTTGGGAGGGATGATGGTGAGTTCATTTGGGGGCATACTAAGTTGGATTTGAAGCAGAGAGAAATAGGGGCTAGAAATACGGATTTTGGAATCATCAGCATAGAGTTGTTCACTGAAGTATTAGGGCTTTATGAGCTAGCCAGGTGAAGGAGATTTGGATGGCAAGTTGGTGCTTGCTGTTGGCAGGAGGCCTTTACATCTTAACACGTAGACCCTTCCATAAAGCTGCTGGAGGGCAGGGGCCTTACCCAAGAACTAGTGACCCAAGAGAGAGCAAGACAGAAATAGCAATGTCTTTTATGACCTGTCCTATCTACAATATCCTACTGGTTATACAAGTCAGTCCTCTTCAGTGGGGGAGGGGAGTACACAAGTTATGAACACCAGGAAGCAAAAATCATTGGGGGCTATCTTAGAGGCTAGCAACACAATCTGGATGGTTGCTTCCATCTGTTTTCTCCATGACACTAACTTTTTGAAGAGAACAGGTCAGTTGGCTTTTATTTATTTATTTATTTATTTATTTATTAAAAGATTTTATTTATTTATTCATGAGAGACGGAGAGAGAGAGGGAGAGAGAGAGAAGCAGAGGGAGAAGCAGGCTCCCAAGGAGCAAGAAGCCCGATGCGGGACTCGATCCCAGGACCCTGGGATCACGACCTGAGCCGAAGGCAGACGCTCAACCATCTGAGCCACCCAGGTGCCCGGTCAGTTGGCTTTTAGATTGTCCCACATTCTGGATTTGTCTGATTGTTTCCTCAAGTTGTAATTTAACTTAGTTCTCTCTCCTCCATGTCTTCTTAAGCCAGAAGTTAGATCTACACTTGATTAAATTGAGCTTAACATTTTTGGCAAGCATACTTCATAGGTGACATTGTATATGTCATATATTGCATTACAACCTGTAACAAAACTTCAAATTAGCCCCCTTTTAGTGATGCTAAGTTTGATACTTGGTTATCTCTGAATGATTCATTTTAAGAGTAAGTTCTCTCCTTTGTATTATTACCTTGTTAATCTGGAGGATAATACTTTGGGACTGCACAAATATCTGTTCCCCAAAACTCTTATCTGATGTTTTCAACATTTTATATCCCTATTCCCTCCACTTTCCTGCCCATAGATAACCATTTGTTTTCTGTTTATCCTTCTAGTGGTTAAACAGATACAGTCAATGATCATTATTTATACATTCTATATTTGTGAATTTATCTACTTGATAAAATTTATTTGTAACTCCCAAAT